ACTAACTGGATAATCCCATTACTAGACACATAATTACAGAGTCTACAGCTGCGAGCAGTGACCGTGAATATGAATATGAGGGCAGAGGTCACGCCGATCGGGCCACAGACGTGCATACGACTGCAGTATCGTTCTGTCTGGTCATCTGATTGCTGTGACTGAAGGGTGTCGGCTCCTTTAAGAAAACGGAACTGAAGCCTCGGCTTTTGACGCTGCTCAGGATGTGGGCAGGAAACGCCATGCAAGAGCAGTGAAGCGATCACGCTTCACGGCCGCCGTTGCACAATACAGCGCTATCAAAAATGTGTCTTAATTGAGCACGCTGATGCCCAGGAGCGGCCATTCTCCCCGGATCCGTGCTCCGCGGCCCTTACAGCGCACGAGAGGGCGATTTGCCGGCGTGGGATTTGAATCCTATCCGAGCCAGAGGGCAGCCTTCTCAGCCTGCTCGGCTTGAAAACATCGGGGCTGGCCAGCGGGTGGCAGAGTGAGGAGGCTTCGTCGCGGAAAAGGAGGTGTCTGCCTTTTATTTTTTAAGAATATATATACATATACCTCTCCGCGGCCATGAGGGAGTACAAAGTGGTTGTTTTGGGGTCGGGCGGAGTCGGCAAATCCGCGCTCACGGTCCAGTTCGTGACGGGCTCCTTCATCGAAAAGTACGACCCCACCATAGAGGATTTCTACAGGAAGGAGATCGAGGTGGACTCGTCCCCGTCGGTGCTGGAGATCCTGGACACGGCGGGGACCGAGCAGTTCGCCTCCATGCGAGACCTGTACATCAAGAACGGCCAGGGCTTTATTCTGGTCTACAGCCTGGTGAACCAGCAGAGCTTTCAGGACATCAAGCCCATGAGAGACCAGATCATCCGAGTAAAGAGGTACGAGAGGGTGCCCATGATCCTGGTGGGAAACAAGGTGGACCTGGAGGGGGAGAGAGAGGTGTCTTCCGGGGAGGGCAAAGCTCTGGCCCAAGAGTGGAACTGCCCGTTTATGGAAACTTCAGCCAAAAATAAAGGATCAGTCGACGAACTGTTTGCAGAGATAGTCAGACAGATGAACTATACAAATGTCCCCAGCGGTGGAGACAAGTGCTGTTCATGTGTCGTGCTCTAAAAGACAAACAAACAAACAAACAGAAACTGTGCATCCGGGCTGTTTGAGCTTTCAAAGTTGTCCTGCAGGCTTTCTTTTTTGTTTTGTTTTTGCAAAAGTATTCGCTCTCCTCACACTGTTGTCTTATTGTTGCACACAAACACACACAGACACACACACAAAATCCACGACAACAATCAAATATGTATCATATTCTGGAAAAGTGTTTACATGAAAAAGTACTTGAATGTTTGGGGATTTTTTTTATAGCTTTGTATATGACACTTCTCTGGAAATGTGCCTCAGTGGGGATGTCTTATTGTGAAACCTAAGAGACACGTGATTTCTGGTTATTTTTGTGTTTTTTCTTCTTTTCAGTTGTGCTGTTTATATCTTCTGGGCTGGGGTCTTCTGTCTCGGAGACTGGTTGTTCTTGTGTTTTGGGGCTACTACACCAAATCCCTAGGCTTAAATGGGATTGTTTACCTTTAGGGTCTTTTGGTTTTTTGGAAGGCCTGAAAGTGTTTAAAAAAAAAAAAAATACAAATCTGATTAAATTATCAGTCACCACTCAAGCCTTGGACAGGTTGCTCGAATCAATGTCACGTTATCTCTCCAGACAGTAAAGCGTGATCCCAGAGGCACAGACCCACCCGCTAATACTGAAGCCGTGGACTGTGGTGGAGTTCTTTTGCCAGCAAATTTTTATTTGTTTTCTCCCCGCCCCCCCTTGTCTCTGGTTTGGTGAAAGTGGATTTATCGTGGAACTTGCACTTAGCTGACGGTGTCCCTCCCCAGTGTGCACAAACGAGGACCTTAGTGCATTGCTGTCGCTGCATGGGGGACGCCGTGACCCCGTGTCAAGTGCCTTCCTAAGAAATCTGTGACTGTGCCAACTCATGAGCCCTACTTCCTCTGCAGTGAGTCATGATGGCAATCAGAACTTTTCTAGCAGTTTTCAATTTACAGTCTAGTTTCACTTGTGCTGAGAATGGGAGGCGCTTCTTCCTACTTTACTGTAAGGAAGCTTCGCTTGTCCTCGACCTGCTGTCCAAAGGGTCAGATTCAGGCCATTTCTTGAGGTACTACTCCAAGAAGAACAACAGAATAACTTTACCCACTGCAATTCTGGTTCAGTGAATGGAAGCCATGTCTGTATGTATTAACTAGCTGTTTTGTTTAGTTTTTTTCCCTTTCTAAAATGTGACATTCTTTGACTTACCATAATTGTATTTCTCTCTTTGTACAAATCTGCCAATCCAGCTGTCAGTTTGGAAGACTTGTAATACAAAACAGATTTTACGTAACGCTGTGTGCTGTGCCCGTCTGTGCTGAGGATGTGTATATGCGTTATACTTTCGGGGTGTTTTCAATTTGACTCTCACTGTAAACAACTTTAGGGCTGAAACAGGTAGTTGATTAATCCATAAGCAACCGACTGATAATCACAAATCACTGATAACATATGAACTGTGTAGTGGTGCACGTAAATGGGTATAGGATGAGCTGTAAAATAAATAAGGACATGATGCTATGATTTGCTAATCATTTAAAAAAAATGTAAATTAAAAGTAAAGCAAAGACAAGTGAAACAGAATTTGAATTTTATGTGGATAAAGCAATAATTTTCCACTTGGAATTTGATGCCAGCTGGTTACAAAAAAGTTGTGACTGTGTTGCATCACCTCTTTCTTTTTTCTTTTTTTTTTCTTTTTTTAACACTTTTAAGTGTTTGGCAACCAGAGAAGACAAAATGTTTCATCGTGCTTGCTTGATATGAGAATTAAGCAGTTAAGTGCCAACTTTGTCATATATTATTTTATATGCTGCCAGATGTTTTGTCTGGACTAAAGGAAGGCCAGGTTTGGCATCCGTACTCCTACCACAATCACTGGTGATGGATTTCAGAACATGTTTCTGAGCTCACGCAGTCGCTTCTGCTGCAGAATGTTCTGTATTAAAATGCAGTGCCTCCTGCGGGCCTGAAAATAACAGCCATTCAATAATTGTTTCCAACACTGACGCACGTGCAGACATTTCTTTTTTTCCAGATTCTCAGAGTCTTTTAGCAACGCACAGCTTTTCCAGTTTTTTGTTGTTTCTATCACTTAACTAACACACACACACACAAACATACATACATACATATATATATATATATACGTATATGTATGTGCAACATTTTAGAACTTGTCTTTGTACTATTTGCACATATAACAGTGTTTAAATGATTTGCAAATGAGTGCATTGTGCTTTTATTTACAATTTACAGCAATTTGAAAAGGAACTCGCAGTGACCGTGGGATTCAGTGGGATGTGCAAATGGGATATCTTTCAGTTTTGTTGCTTTGTGTTGGTCACACAAAGCAAGTGATTTAAGGATGTCAGTGAATCTGTCGAGCATATTTTTCAGTGCTTTTGGATTTTTATACATATCAATAAAATATTGATTTGAAGTATAAACAATCATTAGCTGCATATCTTAAGCTTTTCTACTATTATTTTCCATGTTAAACAACTGAAACCTTTCTTTGTATTTATATAATGTGTGATTATGTATTTTATTAGGTACACTTTACAAGGATTAGGATGGGCCCTCTTTTACCTTCAGAACGGCTTTAATTCTGCTCGAACCATTGCTCAGAGATGGTCCATGTTGACATGAGAGCATCACACAGTTGCTGCAGATTTGTCGGCTATACATCCATATTGTGGATCTCTTGTTCTGGAAGACAGTGAGCACTTTTTGTGTCAGTATCCAACTTAAATCAACCATACATGCTCAAGACTGACATTTGGTAAGTCTTTCTCAGTCTGCCCAATGAGCTGTTGTAATAAGTGTCCAGAAACCACAAAGCTTCATGGTCAAATTAGGAAAACAAATTTGAGAATGTGACTGCACTATTCAGGTTCTATTTAAAGAAAATGTTCCCTTTTGTAAAAATACATACTGTCCGCTGTTGCTGCCTCTGTCATCAGAATCTGGGCCACTAAAGCATTTACTTATAATTCACAAAATGCAGTCCTGTAGTTCTACTGAAGTTTACGAACAGTTCATGTTCATCTCAGTGATTATTTATAAATAAGTGGTTCATGTTTTTTTAAATAATGACTGTAAAAATGTTGCTTTAAAATGAGTTATGACTCAATTCAACCAATCAGAACATGAACACAAAAGAATGTGAACTTACTGTAAAAATGGCAACTAAGATCAATCTGATAATAATTTCATCAGGTTTTT